CTGGCAGTGGTCAGCACCTCTTGGTACCAGTGAGCAGTGCAGCCTTAGCGGTAGGAGTATTTCACAGTGGAGTCGATGGGTACAGAAATGTCAACCCTTTGCTTTCTGCAACCAAAGTTCCTTACAAAGACACTTCCAGCCTCATCAGCCTTGAACGTTCTCGGTGTTCTGGCGGTTCTTGCGTTGCTCTCTGCAGTGTCTGTGGGTAGGATGGGTTGGATTTTCCAGTGGGCTAGGGGGTGGGAGATGGGATCATTTCCTTGCTATCAATGGAGAAGGACCTTTCCACTCGAAGAAGGAAGGAGCAACAGTTTTAGGAGCTGTGTTCCTCCGTCCCTTTAAACTTATTGGGGCTTTAATGTTATTTTGTATAAATTAATTAAAAGGGAAACCAGTAGTGGACGAACTGAACCATTTGGGACAGGTGACGAGCAGGGATGCACATCATCCAGACCACGGCTCCGGGTCCACGCCGTAGCTAGGAAGTGTCCTGCCAACAACCCCACCCACCAGGAAACCCCTGAAGCTGCTCCTGGGGCGCGTGTTCCCTTCTCCCCCCTCCTGTCGGGAGCCGAGTTCTTGGTGTTCCACCGAGCAGCCGCGGAACGTTCCGTTGTCCCGTCCCTCCTCCCGCAGTGACTCGTGTGTCCCCTTCCCCTGTGTAGCTGCAGATGTTCAAGGCAATACCCCGGGCGCAGGCGCGCGCCTCCGCGTGCGAGCGTGAGCCCCTCCTGTCAGCATCGTGAAAAAAGACAAAAAAAAGAAATAGACAAAAAAATATACAAAAAAAAATATCTTTTTTAGGCCAGAGTTTTCTACAGGTATTAATGAATATTTTTCTTAATCCTTATAAGTTTTATGTGTTTAATATTTCTTAATACCGGTAGCATTAATTTATACTTTTGTAGCAACACAATATTTTTATAAACCGCCACCGCTGGCTTTGTCTTCATAAAGGGGAAACGCGGGGCCCTGCCCGCGCGGTACCATGTACTGTATTTAAAAGGTTATCTAATGTCACACTTGCTGTGTTAATAAACAAAACAAAACCTGTTTGAAGTCTCATGTATTGTTGGTGTGGATCAAATGACTCAATAGAGAGCAATATTGCACGGGGTTGAGTTGCTGATTTCATTGTGAGATACGAACGCTTGAGGCCAACTCAAGTTCTGGGGTGTTTTTTTTTTCTTTATAGGATTTTGTTTCGTTTCTGTTTCGTTTCGTTTTGGTTTGTGGTTTTTTTTTTTTTACAGCTCAATAAATTCAGTGCTGTTTGAAACTTAGACTGACGTCAAATGAAAAGGATTCTTAAAGGAAAAAACGAAATCAAGGTGTTTAAATGTTGCTGTTTTTACAAGTCTGTTGCTGTCTGAATGGAAATATTCCACAAGAGAGGAGGAATAGTTCCACTTAGGTTCCAACCGGGCCGAGCGTTCCAGGCCAGAGCTCGGTCCTTTGGAGATCTCTTAGAGACATGTTTCTGCAACATTCTTTTCAGAGTTGATGCCAAGGCAGAAGACAAACTGTAACTGTAAGAAAGCATCCGTTGCTTGAGGATTTTCATGTCAGTGTTGTATTTATGGTTTTACAATAAAACAACCTTTAGGAAAAAAAAGAAAGAAGTCTCTGGGGTTTTCTATTTATCAAGCCCATGAACGGGGCATCACCCAGTGCCGAGGGTCTTGTGAAGAGGGAGAACATCACTTGCAGTGACCTGAATCTCTGGTGGAGCTCATCAGCTGTAGAACTCTATGGTGGGCTTCTCCCCACTTCCCTCATGCTTCCTGAGCCCCTGGGAGCATTTACCAGAGCATCTCCTGTCTCACACTTGGGTGCCCATGCGGTGACCCTGCGCCTCTCACCAGTGACACATTGCTGTGTAGCAGACATGGACATGGGGCACTTGGCCGGCTGAAGAGGGGTTTGGTGTGTTGCACCCACACCAGCAGGACAGGTTCAGCTCCGCTGCTCTCACACTGCTATAGCTGTGCAAGCTGATGCTGGTCAGGCTGGACTCACACGTCCACCCTTCTGCCCAGCACGGTCAGGTCCACCCACGACCTTGCTTTCACCCAGGAGAGGCATTTGGGCACTGAGCAGGAGCCAGGGCTCAGTCCCCTTGGCACCTGTTCATGATGCCACAACACCAAGGGGCTGAGACAGCTTCACCCAGAGGCTGCGTCAGCCTTCACCTGCACCAGTGCCTGCCAGGGTCACAGAGTGCTGGTGAGTGGGACACGGGCAGTTCCACACACAGGAACACGGCTTTGCTGATGTTGTCTGGAGCTCCAAGACCCCCAGACCAGAAATGACCAGGGAATTGTCCCAACTGGAGCAAGAACATGGGGCGGACCAGGCCCACCGCTGGACAATCCAAGGTACGTTGTTGTCTGTCACCTTTCTTTGGTCTGTTGTGGTATCCTTTTGAGGTTTTCTAACCTTGCACCATAACCTGCCCCAAAGAGAGCAAGAAAAAACCCCAAACCTTTGCTTGAGAATCAGGTAATTTGCAGTAAAGCTCTTAGCTGGGGAAACAAAACCCAAAGACATAGAATGACGTTGCGTCTGGCAACTGGATAATTGCTCTGGGCTAGTGGTCAAGTGTGAAGATAAACCAGACTAATAAATACACCTTTCAGGATGTAACAGAACGGCTGTAGCTTTGCAGTAGATTTGATGGAAAAGTGATTTCAGCAAGCAGTAAGATCCGATGCTCTCACATCCCAGGTGGGAGTTAGGATTTGGTTGAAGGTCTGAATACTTGAAGTGGATAATACATGGCCAAAAGGCGTAGAGGATAAAGGACAGTGCTCCTGGGCATGCCACTGTCTCTAAATTGTCCTTTTTGCTAGATCCATTTTAAGGGATAAATGAGATTGCAAATGAAACAAGAGGCTTAAGTTAATCCTGTTTTTTCTCCTGGTTCACCAACTTCTGTCTTATGAGGACACAACCACTTGAACCTTAGTAAATAAAGGAAATAGTAGCTCAGGGCTCAGGCTCTGCTGGAGGTATCCCAGAGGTGCCTCTAAAATCAGGACTGATGAATTTAAAAGCAAATTTAACCATCTCTGATCTTCAGCAATTTGCCTGCCTTGGTGTTCCATTGATCCTAAGATCCTGTCTGTGGGAACACAGTGAGGAGCAGGGAGCATCAGCCTCCTATCTCTGTACTTGTGTGTGTGGTGTCCATGCGCCCTTTGAAGGTGCGGGTGAACAGAACATGCTGGCCCACACCATGGCACGCAACATCCCTGTCCTGCTAGCTGCAACTTGTGCCTCTTGCTCCTTCTCCATCACCCGCCTCCGCAAGGTGATGCTCGGCTGCTCCTTAAGGAGCGGGGCTCTGGGAGACAAGGGGAGTCCCACTGCCCCCAGGGGGGTGAACAGCGCAGGCCCAGAGCTCAACAAGAGTCCAGGTCCTGGGGATGAGGCAGGGCTGAGGCCAATGTGCAGCTCAGGGCTGGGATCTGGTGAGGGTGGCCCAGGTCAGACACAGCCCAGCAGTCGCTGGTCAGGTCCATGGTGATGGGACGGGATGGAAGTGGAGCTGGGCAGTCTGTGGTCAGAGCTCACATCTGCTCACGGGCACATCTGCAGCTGAGCTGGAGACTTCCTCCAGCTCTGGACAGGGACTGAAGGTCCAGAGCTGAGCAGAAAAGGGGCTCTGGGGGCACAGGCTGGGAGTAGATGAACCCCCGGTGAGGCTGGTCAGGGCCACTAAGATGTATTAATGCCCTTGAGCCCCTGAGAGGCTCAGGCTGAGCTGGACAATGCTCCTTGTCCAAGCTCCTGCCTTCTCCTCCAGTTCCTTGCTGGAGATGCCCTGTGGCCCCTCAGGCAGAATCACTTCTCCCAGGCAAGGACACCCCCAAAACAGTGCAGAACAACCCGAGAACGGGAAAGCAGCTCCTGAAAGAATTTAATGGTGAGCCAGCGACAGTGCGATAGCGAGGTGTGAACGGGGAGGGCCCCGCTTGCAGTAGGTGACCAGGGTGGGCGATGGGCTCTGCACTGGCACAGGGCTGGGGGGCACATTCCTGCTCCCGGTCCTGGTCAATGGCGAAGAAGGGAGCTCAAGGCTCAGCAGAGCGCAGAACTGGCGCTGGTGGGCACCCAGTGTGAGGGCAGCAGCTCCCGGCCACCTTGGAGACCTCCTGGGTTGGAGCATTTGCTCTTGGTGGCTCTTGGCAGAGTCACTGCAGGGTCCTGCACCCCGTAGAACACAGACCCTGCCTATGGGGATTGCAGGATTTAGCCCTTTAATACAGAGTGTGCAGGAGAATCTAGACCAGGTTTTGTCAGACTTGCAGCCAGTGTCCATGTGTTAGTTCCACTTCTGAGCAGTGACAGTGACAGTCTTACCATGAGAGTTCTACAGCCAACCATGTTCCCAGGGTATTGCTGGGATTCAGGGGCTACCAGAGCAGGATCTTAATCTCATCCTTGACCTGCAGAGTTGTTGTCAAAGCAGTTTGGGCACCAGGATAGATCCTCTTCTTCACAATTAGGTGCACTAGCTCCATGAGGAATTGACTCATGCAAGAGCTCAGTAGGCTTGAGGTAGCTGACAGGTATGGTAAGGGCATGGTGGGCAGCTAAAACCCACACTGCCCTTCCTGCTCCCAGAGAGAAGGAAGATGTTCTATGTCTGTGGGCTTTGCAGTCACACCTCTGATGCCATGCAGTCATCAGCCAAGGCTCCCCTGGAGACCTGAAGCCCATCCCAGCCAAGGTGATGGTGCAGAATCATAGAATCCCAGCCTGGTTTGGGTTGGAAGGGACCTCAAAACTCATCCAGTTCCAACCCCTGCCACGGGCAGGGACACCTTCCACTGGAGCAGCTTGCTCCAAGCCCCTGTGTCCAACCTGGCCTTGAGCACTGCCAGGGATGGGGCAGCCACAGCTTCTCTGGGCACCCTGTGCCAGCGCCTCAGCACCCTCACAGGGAAGAGCTTCTGCCTAAGAGCTCATCTCAGTCTCCCCTCGGGCAGGTTAAAGCGACACTGGGCCTGCCTGGGAAAGGACACTTCAGGCATAAAAGAACACAAGAAAAGCTTTTCACGTAACTGCTCAAAACGACAGCAGCAGCGAGAAACAAGGGCACTTTGAAGGCAGCTCTGGCAACTTTAAGCTCACACTCAGTTCACATATTGCAGCACAGGTACAAGAGCAAGCACATTACACCCTTTGAGCTTTGGTGCCCTGAACATGGAAGATAGACGAGGCTCAGCAAGGCTCAGGCTCTGCTCCCTGTGCCAGTGCCAATCCTGGTTACAGCGATCACTGCTGCCCAGCGCTGCTGCCACCAGGGAGGCTGGGAGGGATCCACCCGAGAGCCTCCGGCCCCAGTGGGCAGCAGGGTCCTCACCACTCCAGGTCCTTTGGCGCAGGGGGCCTTTTGCTCTTCTCGCTGTAGAACTGGGAATACCAGCGCCGGTGCTTCTGGATGCTGGAGTCCTCCCTGACCAGCAGCGGCTTGGGCAGGTACTGTTTGTTATTCCAGATGGTGATATCCCGCTCAAACTGGGGGGAAAAGGATGGTCTCGGTCAGGGCGGGATGCTGAACTACCTCGTAGTAGTTCAGACCACCTCCTAGTTCTGTGTGAGCTACCTGCACATTGCATTGACTTCTCCCAAATGGCCAGTGTGCGCCTGCTCGTGGTATCTGTAACTGGTAATGCTACAGTTCTGTCTGCACTCAGCCAGCACTCAACCCATTACAGCTCCCAAACACAAAGCCACTTTCAGCTTAGGCTGTCCCCTTTGTACCCCAAGTTCCAGGCAACCAGGGCATTACAAACTGAGCATCTGCATCTTAAACGCTGCTCAGACACCCAGTAAGATCATGAAGTTTTGCTTTGTGAAGAAGCCTCTGCAGAAATGAGTGAGGCTCGTTCACATTAGCAGGATGCAAAACATCAAGCCAGCATTTATACAACATGAGCCTGAGCTCAGCTAAATTTGATCTGGGGTATTTTTTTTGGCATCTGAAAGTCATCTTTTGGCAATTTTTACTGTAGTGCTAGTGAAACCCTCTCTGGTTTGAAGGAGGAGGCCTTCAAGGCCATGTTTGACCTTAATCTGGCAAGACATCCTAACTGAGAGATTGAATTAGAGACCTCCAGAATGACCTCCCATCACTTCCATGAATCCCTGTGATAAGGACCTGAAGAAACTCTATGAGGAGGGGTAGGAGTTTCCAAATCTCATGATAATTTAGCAGTAGGAGTATTTCTTGGCACAGTTCTCACCAAAGGAGACAGGATAATCTTACAGCACCATCCTGGGATGCTGGATGCAGTTACTAGTTCCCTCGAAGGCTTCCTGCAGCCTGGGACAAGTTGCCCAGTCCTTGTGCCCCAGTTCCCCATCCACAGGAGAGGGACAGCAGCTCTCTGCCACCCTCAACAGATGACCCACTGCAGGGACCCTCTTTACTAAACCTCCCCTTTCATTCCTGGGGCTACCAAGAATGAAAGCTCAAACCAAGCTCTGAAAGGAGCTTGCCCACGAGTGCTTTGCCACACGTATTGGAGCCCACTGCAGTAACTGCTCTTCATTCTCACAGTTCCTGGCCACCAAGCTCCAGGGAGCCACCTTTGGCTGCTGTTCTTCAGAGGCTTTACCTGGATGCACTCTGCTCTCAGGATGAACTTGGGGATTATGGCTGGAATGTTCTTCTGGTAGTAGATTTTGTGGACCACACTCTGCAGGAGAGGCTCCAGGGGTGTCACGGTCTGCAGGATGATCCCACGGCCCAGGAAAGTGTGTTCAAAGAGCAGGAAAACCAGTCCTGGCCCTACCTGCAGAGCAACAGAGCACCCTCAAGGAAAAGCCCCCAGTGTCCAGCCCTCTGGGACAGCAACTACCACAGCTTCAGACCTGCCTGAGATGTCTCCTAGACTGTGCTCAAGTCCCCCTTTACTCTGCCTTTTCACCAGATAATAGGCACAAGGCCAAAGCTATGCCTCAGGGTTCGCAGAACGCTTCCCACTTTTGGTGCTCCCCAGGTCAGGGCAGATCCAGCAGCCCGCATTGGCCTGGGTCATCTACAGACGTGTCCAGGATGGGTGGCTTTGCTGTGGGCCCATGGGAATTCATGAGGGTTTCCAGTGCTCCACTGAGTTCCCCAAATTTAAACTCTAATCTTGTAGGAAATGCTTCCAAGTTTTCACTTGGTCGTCTTGTTCATCACTGAATTACCTTCAGGTCATGAGCAGCCTTACTGAATTGTTGGCACCGATCCTGGGCTCCTATCTCAATAGCAGCAACTGCAATACAGCGTGCAGTAATACAACATCCCTGCTCCTGCTCTGGCTTTCTCCTCTGCAGCTACAACAGTCACTTCAGGTTTTAGCTGAAATCAGGTTCAGCTTTCTATCTGGCATGACATGAAGTACTTGTTCTGTGCTCTCTGATGTGCATGCAGACATGCAGCTGTGTGGTCAGACTTGGTTATTTGAAGGAGTGCAGAAATTGTTGGGGGTTTTGGCTACTTCATTTACTACTGTAATGTCTGGTTGCATACAGACTCTTTGTAAGGTTATTTTAATGTCTTCTTTTTCCTCCTGTTCATCAATATCAGTGCTAAATAGCACAGCTCAAAGAACTGACCATACAGTTAACATCCATTTTGTGATAATTCCCTAATTACAGTGAGATTCATCTCTTACCAGAGTTTTGTACCATGACTTGTTTTGTAATAAGGAATCACATAATCACAGAGTCCTTTGGAAAGGACCTGAAGATCATCTGGTTCCAACCCCCTGCTATGGGCACGGACACCTTCCTTTGGGTCCGTTCCAACCCAAACCACTCTGTGATTCTGAGCTGTGACATGATAGTAGGAAGGTCCCTCAGGATTGCCACCAGTGTCTGCTCAGGTACCAGCTTCTTCTCATTCCCATCTTTTGTGAGCACAGCAGTCCTTATGAACCCTCCCTTTCTCCATCCTGCCCAGCAGTGGAGCAGCCCCAATGCCTGCGTGTAGTTTTTGGACTGTGCATCTATGCACATGGTAGGAAAGGCGACTCTGGGCAGGACAGGCAAGGACTCAGCCTTTCGGGTGACAAAGCCCCTTAGCATGGGACATACCTGCCTGGCTGAAACTGTCAAATCCATCAGGGAGAAGTGCTTCCCAAAAACGGTTGCGGTGTGTTGCAGCAGCATCCGGGAGCAATGCTTGTTGGGCTCTGGCTCCGGCCACCACTCTGCCTGGAGGGGTGGAGAAGGATCAGCTCAGCACAAGAGATGGGGTATACTAGCAGAGAAACGGTGACAAGAGCTGGCTGTGAAGACCATCTAGAGATGAGCAGAGACGAGGGAGTGCAGCGAAAACTCAGACACAAGAAGGAGACTGGACCTGAAGATGAGGCAACGCAGCAGAGCGGTTGAGGTGGGGCTGATGCTTTAAAGCCGAAACGGGGCCTGGTTTGAAAGACTTGACCTCCTCACGGCTTAGAGGAGAGCTGAGTCTTACCTTCCAGTTGTGCTTCATAAAATCCCACAGCTTGGACCTCGTGTATCTCAGGTCAGATCCGCCCAGAATGGCTGGTCCATGGAGGAAAGCCAGGTGAGCCGAGTCGGCCGCGTTCTCTGGGATTTCCTGCCATGGGGAATAAGTTGCCATTGGCAAGAGCTGACCCGGGTGGGAGCTGACAGCACCAGGGTGACCACAGGGTAGGGCACACTGCCCCAGGCACAGCAGAGATGCTCACAGGGACACGGAGCAGTGAGAAGCAGCCAAGTGTGTGGAGGAAGAGGCCTCAGCACAGACTGGGACCAGTTCTTGCCTGCTGTACAGGAATAATCTGAACATGAAACTTGGAAAATTTAAGGCTCGTTTTAAGCTCAAAGAAGTCTATGCATGTTAACATCTGAAGCAGTTGGGACTCCAGTTGAGTCCCTCCTTTGCCCCTGTAATAATTGGAAGGAATAAAGCATTTTTGTGTCTGTGCTTCTAAAGTAGCTATCACACACTTTGAAAGGTCTCAACCCCATCAACCTGCTCATAATATGGCACTTCTTGAGAAGTTTTAACTGCTTTATTAGTCAAATACAGCAGCTTCTCACCAGCTTGGCAAGTAGCGCAGACTGGCCCCAGCTGAGACCTGCCTTCAGTGGCATGCACTGAAAAGCAGACAGGAAATAAGTACTACTATCCCATCAATCTCCCAGATTCTCCCTGCCTCTCGCATCTCCTCTGCACACTCCCACAGCCATACCTCCTGTGTCTCATGTACCTTCACTTTGAATCTCTCCGTTCCTTTCTCACCCGCTCACCTCAGCCATGATGTAGTCGGCAGGCAGGCGCTGCCTCGGGCAGAAACGCACTCTGGATGAAGGGTCAGTTTTGTCACTGATTTTTATGCACAGAAGTGTTCTGCTCAGTGGAAAGCACACGAAAACCTCCCAGGGACCTCCAGCGACTGCCCAGCTTCAAACCTGCCCCTGCCTCCTGCTGCTCTCCACCCGCAGCTGCCCCTGCAGGACCCCGTGGACCCTTCCATTAAATGCCACACACCAGTTCCCTTTTTCCACCTGATTTCCACTGAAGGGTAATGGAAACAAGAACCACTTTGTTCTCCATGGCACATTTCTCAGCATATGATGGTGCTTATGAAGATTAACAGCAAAGTAACTGCGTTCCCATTTCAGTTGAGTGATGAGCTCAAAAGCCTCCTGACAGTAAGTGCCGCAGTTGGCAAAGAATCTTCTTTTAAATTACATCAATTATAAGTCAAAGCAAATTAACAGATTCCTTTTAAGTACCCAGAACATCTGCTCCCTACTTGAGAAGCTCACAATCTGTGTTTGGGGAACATATGCCATAATCTCGATACAGCACAGGGTGTATTTCTAGGTCTGAACTCTGCCAGTAGCAGTGATGACACTGAGCGCAGGCAGGGCCTGGTTAATTCATGGAATCATGGAATGGTTTGCGTTAGAAGGGACCTTAAAGCTCCTCCAGCTCCAACCCCTGCCACAGGCAGGCACACCTTCCACTAGAGCAGCTTGCTCCAAGCCCCTGTGTCCAACCTGGCCTTGAACACTGCCAGGGATGGGGCAGCCACAGCTTCTCTGGGCACCCTGTGCCAGCGCCTCAGCACCCTCACAGGGAAGAGCTTCTGCCTAAGGGCTCAGCTCAGTCTCCCCTCTGGCAGGTTAAAGCCATTCCCCTTGGCCTGTCCCTACAGGCCCTTGTCCCAAGCCCCTCTCCAGCTTTCCTGCAGCCCCTTCAGGCACTGGAGCTGCTCTCAGGTCTCCCCTTCAGGAGCCTTCTCTTCTCCAGGCTGACCCAGCCCAGCTCTCTCAGCCTGGGAGGAGATGTTTGTGAACTGGTCTATAGGAGAGGACCCAGGCATGGACCATGGACATTCTCCACAGAGGGACCAGGCTCCCTACCTGGATGTGTGCATCAACCACGTGCTCCGTCTGCCCGCGGAACACCCACTGTTTGGTGGTGATCTCACGCTGCTCGGGCACTGCCCACGTGGGCCCCAGCCCCTCGCAGTGGTACCAGAGCAGCAGCATCCCGTTCACCTCGCAGCACGGCCAGGTCCGGACCCTCGCCAAGTCTGGCACTGGGGAGCACAGAAAGGACTCAGTTAAAAGCGCCATCTCCAAAGCTGATACTGGCACTAAGGGTCACCTTGTCCTCAGCCACGGCTCAGAGGTTATCTTTATGGGAGAAAGTCATGAGGCACAGTCTCTCTTGTGACACTTTTCCGGCTTCCAGGCTGCTGAAGAATGACAGCAGCCTCTACAATTCCCAGGCGAGCTTGCTTAAATCAGTTTTACTTCCATTGGGTGTTTCCATGAGCTTTCAAAACTCACAAAGTTTGATAAAGGAGGTAGTGGGGCTGGCTGCTCCACAGCCTCCTTCACTGCTCTTAAAACTGTTGAAATCAGTAAACGTCTCCTGCATCAATGGACCCCCTCAAGTTTCTAAGAGCTAAAAGGAGATGCTTTTAGTTAGAGGTGTGCAGAGGGTAAAAGCCATCCCTACCTCTCGAGTTTAAGTCATTCTCTGTTACCATACTGCAGTATGATGGGCTGCCTTAAGAACAGATCTGCTCTGTCCAGTGACATGAATTTTGGTGTTTATATTCACCCAATTGTCAGAAAATTGAGTTTCTACTGGATTGAAAACCTTTTGCCTTCATGGCTTTTTCTGATTTGCAAACAAACAAGTGCAGGGGAAAGTGCTTCCTTATTATTCAGCCTTATACAGTGAAATAACAGGAGAAATTGTATTTCTCTTTCAGTCAGTGAATACCAGAGGGGGCAGGAGGAGACCATCACCCTGCTTTCTGACTAAGAAAATCTTGTGCTTTGGGTGAGATGCAGCTTGTTAAATTGTGAAAAGGGCATCACCTGCCCCACATAGTCACAGAACCCCAGACTGGTTTGGGTTGAAGGGAGCTTAAAGCTCCTCCAGTTCCAACCCCTGCCACGGGCAGGGACACCTTCCACTAGAGCAGCTTGCTCCAAGCCCCTGTGTCCAACCTGGCCTTGAACACTGCCAGGGATGGGGCAGCCACAGCTTCTCTGGGCACCCTGTGCCAGCGCCTCAGCACCCTCACAGGGAAGAGCTTCTGCCTAAGAGCTCATCTCAGTCTCCCCTCAGGCAGGTTAAAGCCATTCCCCTTGGCCTGTCCCTACATCCCTTGTCCCAAGCCCCTCTCCAGGTTTCCTGCAGCCCCTTCAGGCACTGGAGCTGCTCTCAGGTCTCCCCTTCAGGAGCCTTCTCTTCTCCAGGCTGCCCCAGCCCAGCTCTCTCAGCCTGGCTCCAGAGCAGAGCTGCTCCAGCCCTCGCAGCATCTCCATGGCCTCCTCTGGACTTGATCCAACATCATTTAGATTAGAAATTATCTTTAAGCTCATCCAGTCCAACCATTCCCAGCACTGCCAAGGCCACCACTAACCCACGGCACTGAGGCCTCGTCTCCACGCTGTGTGAACACTTGCAGGGACGGTGACTGCAGCCCTGCCCTGGGCAGCCTGTTCCAATGCCTGAGCACCCTCTGGGGCAGGAATTGTTCCTCAGCTCCATCTAAACCTGCCCTGGGGCAGCTTGAGGCCGTTTCCTCTTGTCCCATCCCTTGTTCCTTGGGAGCAGAGCCCAGCCCCTCCTGGCTCCATCCTCCTGTCAGGCACTTGTAGGGAGCCATCAGGTCCCCCTGAGCCTCCTTTTTTCCAGGCTGAGCACCCCAAGTTCCATCTGCCGCTCCTCACAGGACTTGTGCTCTGGACCCTCCCCTAGCTCCATCTGGCAGCACACTGAGATCTGTGTCTCTCCTTCACTGTTGGTCCCCTGCAAGCCTAGTGCTGGAGGAGCTGTGCATCTGAGTCTCCAAAATCCTTCTCCACCACAGTGACCTGCATGAGCACAGGTGGCTCTTAGATCTGTTTAAACGACCCTGACCCATCTGTGTGTATGGGAGCAGGGCAGCCCTCTGCAGGTTTGTTCTTTCAATAGCTATGGGTAACAATGACTTTGAATACAGACGTTTCAGATGAGACTGCGTCTTGGCAAGCCTTTGAGTATGTCCAGAACATCCACTCTCATTTTGTGCTGGAACTCATCATTGCTTATTGCTTGGAACTAAATTTTCACTTCCATGCAGCTCCTGAGTTAAGTATGTATGGGGAAAAAAGACAGTATTAATCTCCTTTCTGAAAATAACATACAAACCCAGGAACTGCTGTTTGGCACATCTATACATTTCTTACCTTATGCATATAGATGGCATGTTTCTTTCGCTTTGGGAAAAATAGTCTGTTTAATAGAAAGACTGACTTTTGCTGCACTCGATGTTTTCATTGCCATCCCAATCAATCCCAGTCAGAGAAAGCTGAACTTCCCAAGAAAATAATTAAGCTAAAACAGCAGGCCACATTCAAGTTGAGTTTTGTGGTGTCAGCCACATCTACAATTGGTGATTTAAACTACGTAGTGCAGCCAGATCAGCTAATTGTTACACATGAACTTTAAGTAAGACATTAAGTAAGGCATTCTTCCTACGCAGTCAATGCAAACCATATCTGAAAGGTTTGTGAGGAGCTTTCCTGGATTCCAACCAAAAGTTCCCTTCAAGCCTTAAAAGGAGACAAAACTGTCATTGAGAGACCGTTCTGTCATGCTAATGTGACACATTTATGTGGTATAAGCTGTCACTATAGAGCACAGAATGATACCTGAACCCCAGTAACTCCTCAGGATCCAGCCCTGCTGCTGCAATGGCTCACTCAAGAGTTAAAAAGCTTCTTTCACACCCTGTCTGCTGAACTCAAGAGTTGTAAGACTGTCAAAGTCAAGAAAGGTGGTTATTTAACTGAAGAGCCAGCCATCATCTTACATAGGAAAGGCCACTGGAACACTATGCCCCAACATAGACAGCTCAGGGGGAAACAGGGGGCTGTGTGAAATAGGGGAGCAGGATGAAGGGGGAGTTATTATAAAGATCACTCTCCCTTTTGATGAGAGCACACAGGACACTCCTGGTTCTGCAGATCTCGGGGGTGCTCCCTCACCTTTTTCAACATAGGGGATGCTGGTGCATTTTCCATCTTCCCCCCGAAAGCGCCAGCCATGGAACGGGCACTCGATGCAGTTGCCCACAACGCGGCCACCAGCAGCCAGGTTGGCTCCGAGGTGAGGGCAGTAAGCATCCACCACAAAGGCCTGGCCATCCTGGGTGCGAAACACAGCGAGCTGCTCTCCTGCAGAAACAGGGGAGGGTGAGAGTGTAAAAACGCTACCGCCATATGAGGGGAACCAGGGAAGACCTGTGGCCAGCAGGTCGAGGAGGTGATTCCCCCCGCCTCTATTCAACCCTCGTGAGGCCACATCTGAAGTACTACATCCAGTGCTGGGCTCCTCAGAACAAGAAAGACAAGGAGCTGCTGGAGATGGTCCATCAGAGACCAACAAGGAGATCAGGGGTCCAGAGCATCTCTCTTATGAAGAGAGATTGCAGGAGCTGGGCCTGGTTAGTCTGGAGGAGAGCAGCCTGAGAGCGGATCCCATCCATGCAGATCAGTATCTCAAAGGTGGGTGCCAGGAGGGTGGCGCAGCCTCTTTCAGTGGTGCCCAGCAACAGGATGAGGAGCAATGGCCATAAATAAAACATGAGAAGTGTCACCTCAACATGAGCAAGAACTTGTTTCCTTTGAGGGTGGCAGAGCCCTGGCACAGGCTGCCCAGGGGGGTTGTGGAGTCTCCCTCTCTGGAGACATCCCAAACCCATCATGGACACGTTCCTGTGTGCCCTGCTCTGGGTGACACTGCCCTGGCAGGGGGTTGCACTGGATGATCCCAGAGGTCCCTTCAACTCTAATGATGTCGGGATTCTCTGGGGACACACTGGCCCCTTCTGCACAGGCAGCACCAACGGGTGCTTTGACCCAACACTGCGGGTACCTGCTGTACAAAGGCATGCAGAAACATCCCGCTGAAGATGAACGCTGGAGGGTTTCTGTCGGGACAGAAATAACCGGAGAGGTTCTTTAACCACGAGGTGGCACCAGGCAGCTGCCAACCAGGGAGGAAAGGGCTGTGCAAAACTGGGGTGGCAGCTGCTGCGGCAAATGCCCATGGTGTGGTGGCCATCAGCTCGCTGCCGGGTTTCAGAGCCGTCTCCGAGGGGTGAAGCGCCCATCACCAGTGTCCCCAGGGGCTGCTGTAGCACAGAAACATCCCAGCCAAAAGGCATCACCTTGTTCCAGCCTGAGGGAGCGTAATTTCTCCTGGTCATCGCTAAGCTCTCATGGCTTTAACCCTCGGGCCCTTGGGTTTTGAGTTCTTGGAGCCAGTTTCAGCCACAGTATAAAAAGTACCATCACAAACATGCTTCAAGATTTAGGATGCTTCCTAAGCTAAGGGAGAGATACACAGAGAAGAGCAATGGCTGCATTAAGAACTCCATTCCCATCCCTTTGCCCACAAAGTGTTGAGGAGACTGCATGGGCTCCTGTATTTCAGGGCTCACTGGGAATGGTAGCTGGAAGGAGAAGCCCTTCACCTGTTTGCTCTTGAACCCCAAGAGCCATCCACACCTCAGCTCAGCAGCAAATCCCTTCCTTGGGCAGGGGCTGCAGGGTGCTGTGACCCAGAGCATGGACATCTCCTTGGGAAAAGGGACTTTTGTGGTGATGCACAGGGAGCCCCTGACCCCGTTCCATGCAGGGAGTGGAGAGTTAGTGCTGGAGAAGCCGGGCCTGCAATGCCCCAGCACTCAGACTTGCTTTTCTCCATCACTGGGTCTGATTCCTTGTGCTTGGTGAGGTTTGTCAGGATGGGATCTGTCCCTGCTCAGTTCTGGGATCACCTTCTTCCCCCCTACCCCAGGGCAGCACTGCCAGTACCTGGGCTGGAGCTATAGGTCTGGTCACTGCACTGCTCCAGCCAGCTGTGCAAGGCAACCACAGCTGGAGGACATGCTGCAAGATCACCTAAAGGAATGCTCTTCCTGCAGGGACTGAAGAGGTGCCAGGCTCTTTCCTGGCCTGGCACACTGCTGCTCTGGGGGTGCTGCAGCACTGCAGCCCTGCCAGCACCCACAGCCCTGCCAGCAGCTCCAAGGAGAGAGCCTGCTCCTTGGTGACCTGGCCTGAAGGCAAAGCCAGACCCCCTTCAGTGTGCCCACAAGCCTTGTCCTGCTTGGAAGGGGACATGCTGGTCTCAGAGCTCAGAAGCACTTGGGGGCTGCTCACACGTGGCCACTCAGTTGAAGGTCAGGTCCTCTCTTCCACACTGTGCTTCAGGTTATGCATGTAAGTATTCAGCTTTCATAGCTTCTGAAATCTGCTCCATATAGCAGTTGCTGTAACTTAAAGCTCAGCTAGTGAGAAATAAGAGCAAACTAAACTCTGGGAGCCAAGTTCTGTGTGTGTTTTCCTATGCAGCCACACTGCTGACAAGTGACACTGGGAGCTATCCCACCCACAACCACTTTCCTTTCCAATTTCCAGTCAAGGAATCAACTTCCTTGCCTGAAATTCTGTGGTGTGGGCAAAGAAAAGGAAGCCCTGCAATCTTTCCAGCCTTTCCTTTCTAGAAGGACTATTTCTGATACCTGGCACAAATGAGCTCTTCTCCAGTGCCTGGAGATCCCTCCTTACCAGGACACCTGGCTCTGTTATCCCTGCAGGCTTTCTGGAAGTCTCCACACATCTGCTGGCAGCAGGCACAAGGGAGTGGAGGCACCTGAGGTGCTGGTCCTTCCCTCTGCCCCAGGTAACAGGGATTCGTTCTGAAGCATCAGCATTTTTGTTCTGTCTCTAACACGCCTCTCTGCCTGACCTGAGGGGGAAGGCAGGGACAAGGTTTCTGCCTGTGTTACACGTTCACCAGGAGTAGCTGCAGTGCAGAAACAGAGGAGCAGCCTTGGAGGGGGCAGACCAGAGCACTGCAGCTACAGCACTTGCAGCAGGGCACTAAGAAGCATCGCTTCAGCCTTGTGCTTCACCCACCAGTTTTAAGACGATTTTACCCCAAGAAGGTCCCACCTCTGGACCTTTCCTTCATGCAGGCAGGCTGGAGCTCTTCTGCCCTGAAGATCTGAAGCAGTGCCCATGGGCAAGGGTCTGGCCACACTGCTGGGCTGTCCAAGAACCTCACCCTGGGCTCCTGAGTGAGCGCTGCTTCTGCCTCCAGCCTTTGCGCTCTGAAGCCAGCAGAGCCAGAGGAGATGCTGATCTTTGCTCTGTCTGTGCCTCAAATCTGATGCGTCTCCTTTTGAGAGGACAGTATCCTGGCCTAAGATACAGCGAAAATTCTGTTGCAGGTGAACGTTAGAGCATTAACAGCCTCATACTGATGGTTTCTTATTAAATTAGACTATTTATTTTACGGAAAATAAGCAGCAATTGTAGAAAGAATAGGACACAAAGCGCCCCAAGGCCACCTTGGGCAGTTGTGGGCACTTGGTTGGAAACATAGAGCCTTGGGAGGGAGCAGCTCAGAGAACCTGCTTCAGCATAGGAGCCTTGCTGGTGTCCAAGCAGATTCCCTGCAGCAAGCACCCAGTGTGCCATGGATCAGAGAACCTCTTTCTCCCGTGCTCAGCGCCATGCTTTGGAAGGTGCTTCATTCCAAAGGATGAGTCTTGCAGGGACTGACTCAAGTAGGATTTATCCTCTCATCTCCCCTAGCTCGCTGCCTCTGGAGCAGGGCTGCGTTCCCAGGCCGTGCTCAGAGACACCAAAAACTCAGACACCCACAAACCTGACAATCTTCCTGGCACCGGTATGCTACAGTCACTCTGCCACAAGTGATTTTACCTGCACATTTCACATAACTGGGTGCCAGGAACCAGACTTCAGGCAGACAACTAAGGGAGTCCCAACAGCCAGGCTGCTGGAAGCTCTTTAGGATGTGTATATGGGATTACATAGGTCCCAATAAAGGCACTAGCACAAGTCCAAAATCATCTTCAAGGCAAAGGGACCCTGGGCAAACATAGTACCTGCATGTGTCTGAGGCTCCATCCTGATCTCTCCAGGTCATGGGGAGCTGCAGGTAGTGTTGCCTGGGGAGGCAATGAGATGCTCTGGTGTCCCAGGAAGAAGCCAAGACAGGGAAACCCTGCATACTCTTGAGGACCCCGTGCCGTGATGTCGCCAGCGCCCCAGTGGGATAATCAGAGCCCCTGAAAAGGCCCAGGCTGTGACACTCTTGGTGCTCCTATGTTGGTACTGACTGGGCTGCCCTGAGAGGGATGCTCAGGCAGAGTTGTGGCATTGCCACAGGAGAGCCCCCAGGCAGGGATGTCCTGGCAGGGATGCCCTGATAACAGTCCAGGCAGGGACACTGCAGTGCTGGCTCAGATGCCCCAGGGCCCCGGCAGGATGCCTAGGCTAGGATGCTCCAGTGCCCTGGTGAGGATACCCATGTGAGGATGTGCCAGCACAACCACCTGTGGGGGTGTCTGGGCAGGGATGTCCCAGCTCCCCAGCAGCAATGCCAGAGCAGGGACGCCCGGGTACATGCCCCGATGCCCTGGCAGGGACGTCCTGGTGCAGACACCGGCGGGGCGGGATGTGCCAGGGCTGCGCTGGATGCTCGGCGCCCAGGCAGGGATGCCCGGTGCCCCAGCCCCATTCCCGGGGGGTGTGTGCTGTACCCCGCACTCCGCCCACGTCCCGACCCCCCGCCCCGGGGGTGATGGGCGCCGGGCACTCACCGAGCAGGGCGAGGCTGCGGGCGGCGCCGCGGGGCAGCTGCTCCGAGTCGAGCAGCCGGTACCAGCCGTTGGGGAAGGGCGGCGGCGGGGCGCCGGGGCGGCGGGCGCGGCGGGGGCGGCTCAGCCCGGGGCATGGCACGTACCCCACCCGCCCGGGGCCGCGCCGCAGCGACAGCGGCCGGCAGCAGCCCAGCAGCAGCAGCAGCAGCACGAGGAGGAGGAGGAGGAGGAGGAAGAGCAGCACCCCTCGCCCCGGCCCCGCAGCCAGCAGCGCCGCACCGCACCACCCGCTCCCCATAGCGCAGCCGGTCCCGCAGCCGCCACCCCTTATAGAGCGGTCGGGGAGGTGCCCCATGGGAGTGGGGGGGCGGGGACACAGCCGACACCCCACAGGGGATCTGCCCTGGAAGGCACCCGAAGGGGACGCGCTGCTCGGCCCCGGGGTGCGGAGGCGCGGAAGGAGGCGGTTGCTTCATCCGAGGCAAGAGGGTTAAACGAAGGAGTCCAACTGCAGCCTCCTAGGGCAGTTACCTCGGGGTGCAGAGTGCAGGGCTCTTCTATACACAGTGAAAAGGCAACGAGCCCAAGCTGCAGCAAAGGGAACTCCACAGAGGGAAAAATGATCACAGAATCCCAGACTGGTTTGGCTCCTCCAGTTCCAACCCCTGCCACGGGCAGGGACACCTTCCACTAGAGCAGCTTGCTCCAAGCCCCTGTGTCCAACCTGGCCTTGAACACTGCCAGGGATGGGGCAGCCACAGCTTCTCTGGGCACCCTGTGCCAGCGCCTCAGCATCCTCACAGGGAAGAACTTCTTTCAGAGAGGATAAACCAGGGCAAAGCCAAGGCTGGGCTGTTGGGACATGCCAGCTGGCTGGAAAAGTGATGCAGAGAAGTAACGCTTGATTTAGTGCAAAGAATTGCACAGGTTCATCTCCTGGCATGGAGATGTAGTCAGAAATTTCTACGAGAAGCAGCAACCCAAGATAGCCACTATAGAGCTGAGTAATTGAGAACTGAGAAGCACACAGACATGGGACTGCGGCTGAAGCAGAAGGAGCAACTTGAAAGGGCAAGTTCAGGCAGGGTGAACCTCTTGAAGGCCTGGTGTGAAAGGTTTGGGTAAATATTTACATGACCTATTGGAAACCTGTTGTAGGGGAAGAACGCCAACGTAGTTACGCAGGAGACTGGATACAACAGTTGGGAGTAAACAGACATCCCTAGCAGAGGGGCAGGCTGCGAGTCCCAGCTGAACAGGGAAACAAGAAAGCCGGAACTCTGGCAAGTGAAGGGAAGGGCACAGGGATGCTGCGAGGGCATACCCGCAGACCCTTAGAGCAGCTTTCAGTGCCTGAAAGGTGGACATCTTGTCTCAGTTTGCTTCAGCTGAGTGAGGAGAACCCCAAAAAGCAACAGTGATTTCGGTACTGAAGCAGAGAGCCCAGCATTATCTCTTGATGTAAGGGATTGGTACAATCCTGCCCTCCTCTGAGGGCTGGAGGGAGACCATGGCCCAAGGCTGTGGATTTCATCCCCTCTCCCTCCAGACTGGCACCAAAGGCATCAGGGCCCAGCAGAACTGGGAGGGAAAGGTGAGGCGAGCAGCAGGACAGGTAAGAAAAGGAAGCATGGAGAGCATAGCAATGCCAGATGCTTTCTGTCATGCTCAGGAGTTTGAGGAAGGTTTCTGGGTGCAGAGCAGAGCCTTCTGATCCCGAGGCTCTGCTGCTGGCCCGGCTCCTTTGCCCCTCTCGAGCATCACCTGCAGGGCAGCTTCTTGGCTTGGTGCAGGAGTCCTGGGAGCTGCTGGCTTGCTTCTGAGAACACCGGGCCCTACCGTGGGCAGCCTCTGCCCAGTGGGGAACAGAGGCTCAGCCACAGCCTCCCCTGGCTCCTGCAGCGAATCTTCCTGCTGCCTGGGGTGGGAGACGGGAAAAACACGGGACAGTCTGGACTCAACCAGACATGGAAGTGCTTGAGGTGCCCAGGACTGAGTCTGCAACTGCTGGGGCTGCAGTGCTGGCTGGGGCTGCTGCAGATGGAGGAGTAACTGCAGGGCTGGTGCTGGTCTCGGGGCTCAGCTCCTGCCCCCTGGGCAGGCAGTGGGGCTGGTGCTGGCCTGCGGGGGGTCAGATCCTGTCCCCCTGGGCAAGCAGTGGGGCTGGTGCTGGCTTCGGGGCTCAGCTCCTGTCCCCAGCCGTGCAGGAAGCAGGGCTGGTGCTGGCCTCGAGGCTCATAGCCTGTCTTCACTGGGCAGGCAGCGGGGCTGGTGCTGGCCTCAGGGCTCAGATCCTGTCCCCCATGGGCAGACAACTGGTCCGGAGCTGGCCTCGGTGCTAAGCTCCTGTCCACGCCTGTGCAGGCAGCGGGGCTGGTGCTGGCCTCGGGGATCAGATCCTGTTTCCCTGTTGTCAGGCAGTGGTGCTGGTGCTGGTCTTGAGGCTCAGATCCTGTCCCAACTTCGGCATTCAGAGGGGCTGGTGCTGTCGTCGAAGCTCAGGTCATGTCCCCCATGGGCAGGCAGTGGGTCTGGAGCTGGCCTCAGTGCCTACACGGAAGGGACAGGAGCTGAGCCCTGAGGCCAGCACCAGCCCCACTGCCTGTACCAGGGGGAACAGGATATGAGCCTCGAGGCCAGTATCAGCCCCGCTGCCTGCATGGGGCGGGACTGGAGCTGATCTCTGAAGCCAGCACCACCCCTGCTGCCTGCACGGTTGGGGACTGGATCTTAGCCCCAGGGCCAGCACCAGCCCTGCTGCCTCCCCAGTTGGGACTGGAGCTGATCCCCGAGACCAGCACCAGCCCCACTGACTGCCCAGCTGGGACAAGAGCTGAGCCCTGAGCCCAGAGCCTACACGGGGGGACAGGAGCTGAGCTCCAAGGCCAGCACCAGCCTTGTTTCCTTACTGGGGACCTGAGTTCCAACACTGCTCTGGTCCTGGACACCCGTGCAGGCAATGAGGCTGCTTCTGTTTCGCTGGCAAGCACAGCATTTGACACTGATCTTAGCTCTGCGCTGGCCTCTCTCCTGGCAGACAGAGGATTTGGTTCTCCTCCGACATTGCCCTCCAGGTGCTGCTCTGGGAAATCCTCAGAGTCATCACCCCAGAGTCAGTGCCGCAGGGCAGTCCCTGATGCAATACAAGCAGTGAGAGCGGTGATGTCCCAGGGCAGGGCTGGGGGATGTGTGTGGCGATGCTGTAAGATGTGCCTGGGGGCTGTCACTGTGCATGCTGGGGGCTGTTTTGCTCCATAGGCATCTGTTGGATGCCACTGCAATTAAAGCAGATTTAAACGCACCAGTTTTTCAATATAGAATATCCCAAGGCCAGCCCCAGCCCCACTGCCTGCACAGGGGGGCAGGAGCTCAGCCCCAGTGGCAGTCCTGACCTGTGACATCCCCCAGCCCTGCCCTGGGACATCACTGCTCTCACTGCTTATATTGCATCCAGAGACTGCCCTGCGGCAGTCGCTGTGGGGTGACGACTCTGAGGACTTCCCAGAGCAGCACCAGCAGTGCCATTGGGCAGTGGACCTTAGGCACTGGCAGTGCCAGCATCACCCGGGTGCACCAACCTGCACCGTGGCTCCAGGGTTCGTGGACCGCTGCCTGGGGGTCCCTGCTCCAGACGCACCCACAGCTCCCCCGGTTGCTTCAGCCCTGGCTGCCTGGGGAGCTGGAGCACTTCTCTGACGTGGAGAGTTTCAAGGCGTTGATGCTCACAAGTGTGATCCTGGATGCGCTGCCTGTCTGTGGGCTCGATGAAGGAGTCCAGGTCACGATGCTGCGGCCTGACCTGCAGAGCCACATGGACTCACTGAGGGCACGGGGAAACAGTGCAGGTACAAAGCCCAGCACCTCCTGGTCCCTGAGGGTTCCTGTGCTGCCAGCGGGTTGGGGGGCAGCCGTGGAGGTGTTGAGCGCAGAGTTCAGCGGGAGGCAGGAGGGCAGCGCTGTGGCCAGCACCAGCTGCAGAGACTGCCAGGAGAGACAGGAGAGCAACGTCGTGAGGAGAACCAGCTGGGAGAGGCCAGGGCAGAGCTGAGACCAGCATCAAGTGCTGCTTGCCAGGGGAACAGGAGCTGAGCCCCGAGGCCAGCAGCATGGCCACCACTACACACCACCCTCCTGCCCTGAAGTACTGCTATAAGAGATGGAGCCTCGCATGATGGACTGAATGCATTCAGCAAATTTATGTGGAAGGCCCATGGACAAAGAAATGATAGATCGGAAGGGTGGGGGGGTTTGTGTGTGTGAACATATACATGTGCTTGGATCAGCACTAGCAGCAGGGAGCTCACCCCTGACTTCAGCCCTAGTGCTGCTACGTGACCAGAGAGGCCAAGAGCTCAAGAGCGAGGACAGCACCAGCCCCAATACCTGCAAGCCTGGGGAGAGAAGCTGAGACCTGAGGCCAGCTCTGGACCCGCTGCTTGACCAGGGACACAGGAGATGAGCCCTGAGACCAGAATCAGCCCCACTGCCTCCACGGGGGGGAGGGGAAACAAGAGCTGAACCCCAAGACCAGCAGCAGACCAACTGCCTGGACAGGGACACAGGAGCTGAGCCCTAAGACCAGCACCAGCCCCACTGCCTGCTCGGAGGGGACAGGAGCTGAACCCCAAGATCAGCACCAGCTTTGCTGCCTGTCCGGGGGAAACAGGAGCTGAGCACAGAGGCCAGCACCAGCCCTGCTGCCTGCATGACTGGGGACAGGAGCTGAGCCCTGAGGCCAGCTCTGGACTCGCTGCCTGCCCAGGAGGGGGACAAAAGCTGAGCCTCGAGACCAGCAGCAGCACTGGGGGGAAAGGATCTGAGCCCTGAGACCAGCACCAGCCCCACTACCTGCACGGGGCAGGACTGGAACTGAGGTCCGAAGCCAGCACCACTCCTGCTGCCTGCAAGACTGGGGACAGGATCTTAGCCCCGAGGCCAGCTATGGACCCTCTGCCTGCACAGGGGGGACAGGAGCTGAATCCCGAGGCCAGCACCAGCCCCACTGCCTGCCCAGTAAGGACAGGAGCTGAACCAGGAGGCCAGCACCAGCCCAGCTGCCTGCCCAGGGCAACTGAAGCTGAGCCCCGAAGCCAGGAGCAGACCAACTGCCTGGACAGGGACACAGGAGCTGAGCCCTGAGACCAGCACCAGACCCATTGCCTGCATGGGGTGGCACAGGAGCTGAGCCCCTTGTTTCACCCCATGGGGGGCAGCAGGGCTGGTGCTGGTCTCAGGGCTCAGCTCCTGTGCCCCTGGGCAAGGAGCGGGGCTGATGCTGGCCTCGGGTCTCAGCTCCTGTCCCCCCTGTTCAGGCAGCGGGGCTGGTGCTGCCCTTGGGGCTGAGCTCCCCTCTTCCCAGGGTAGGCAGTTGCACTGGTGTTGAAGCAGGAGCAGTCCTGTTTCAGGCAAAG